ACGGGGAGGGTGTGGGGTTCTGTCATATTATAGTATTACACTTTTATTCATTTTTAGAGATGAACTGTTTGGCTGAGAAAAAAATATCCTTTTCTCGTTTCCGCGTGCATCATTTTGAACCATGCGCCTCGGACGTTTTTTTCCTTCTAAAAGCATTCCAAAATGCGCTTGTACTCGCACTTGTTTCAAATTTCCCCTATTTTAGCTAAGTATTCAAAAAAAAAATCGCCTCGCCGTCTCATTTTAAAATTTCCATGAACCGAGAAACAGAGAATTTTTTTCCTTGGCCTTATATGAGGATATATATAGCACATGCATGAACAATCTGACCACCGAAATAAAACAGTATTTATCATATACATATAAGTACGTCATTTAAGTGTGTAATTATACAAATGTTCGCTATAATAATGCTACTGGCAATACATATTATTATTCACATAAATAAACTGCTATGACGATTCCAAAGGATCACTGGTGCTAAATACTAGACTAGACTCTTACCACCATTTACTGTATGTTTTTATTCAAACACGTCTTAAGGGAGCACTAAAGAAACATTGAAATCAGAAAGGGCAACGTACTTTTTATCAGACGCAACGTGATGAAACCAACATGCACTGCTGCTTCAATTAAACAACGTTCAGAGAAAAGAAAGGAATTCGGGATGAAAAACATCTCCCGACACTAGTAGTAGGTAGGGGAGATGTTTATTCCATCATATGTATAATATCAAAGAATCAGACTTGCGTTTTTAACAAGAAGTCGAAAATATAACTTTTTACCAAAAATGACAAAAATATTCACCAAAATTAGAAAATTAAAGATATGATTATAAAATTTCTAAGGGAGGTCTGCTCAAAGTACATATACGTATATCGAAGCAATCAGAAAAAATCAAATAAAAAAAAAGTTAAAAAAGTAAAAAGTTGACGCCTACGGGCAATCATTCATATGATATGTGTGTTTGTGTGACCCATTATAATTTGAATTGGTTAGCCATAATCGTGTTATATAAGTTGTAGTTTAGCATTTAAAAAAGGTATGACTGGCTACTTACGTACAATTCAGAATTGTAGAATACTAGTAAATGATTCAACGAAGATTGAGTTCTTTAGTTAAAAACGCGATATCGCTGAACAATTTCTTTTTACAAATTCTACATAGGCAATAGGCAAGTTAATTTTACAAGGCTGGTATGTTAGCCTCAAAATTGAATCGTACAATGAGCAATGGTAGTTTCTGGTGCGATGTGTCCTGTGATATACAATATTATTTACAAACTAATACGGTGTGTAAACTCACAGTAACCTCAAAATATACAAACAGAAATAAAATTTTAGATTATCAACTAACATACTAGAGTTTGAATAGCAGTAGCCTAATTATTTATGTATATTTGTATTTTTTAAGGCATATGAATTTATATCCTAAATTGCCAAACATTTTATTGCACGTAAGTGTACATCTGTTATACACTATTACTCAGTATATCGTGCATGTCATGGGTACAAGGCACACAACTTTCAGTGATACTGTAGTCATAGGACAGATGGTATGAAATAAATATATCAGTAAGTGCAGTCATCTTATTCCAATGTTGCAATCATTAAGTGATTCGGCGTTGTGTACTATCAAACCCAGTTTTTAATTTCATACAGTGGTATTGTAAGATTATTATCAGGTTTTGTGTCCCGAGCATATGTTACCATACGTGTTAATGCTGATTCTGTGCTTGAAAAAAATACAGTAGAACCTGTAAGATAATAAATGGGATTATTAAATACAAGACAAAATGAATTGAAAACATTACAAACAAACTGTATACCAGTTATGTTTTGACAATATCTCTACTTACGGACACAAATTTCTGTTTCCAGTAATGAAACGTGATAGTTGTCTAATCTAATCTTATCTCTGATCTTGATTGGGTACGATGTACTAGTGATGTCATCTCTGGTGATAATATTGTCAACATTGGCGTCTTTTAACATTTTACTGATGGCCTAAAATATACAGCAACAAGCACATGTATGTCTGTGATAGTCTATTAATAACAAAATACTAAATCAGGACAAAAGATGATCGATGATGGAAATAAGGCTAATGTACGTCTGTTATAAATCCGTAACACGTGGCGGCCATTCATTATGTAAAATACATGGCACAAAAAGTAAATATGATTATGCCAAAAAAATCATTTCTCAATATTGAAAACGACAACGGAAATTGACTTTTACCCATATTTTCAAATGCGCATTTGTCGAATTGAAATACAAAATACGTTATAGAAAATTACATTAGATGCGGTACATAATACGGCCATTTATTATTTATTTACAAACGTTCCCATGAACATATCACAATATGTGATGAATTCAACATTGTCGAGTGTATAGCGCACAAATCTAAATTGAAAATTGATATATTGAAAACAAAATTTCAATATTCAATGTGTATTGGTAGAACCCGACCAAGTTTCTACGTAGACGCAAAAGGTCTGCCATATATTTTGTGGCATTTAAAACATTGTGGGGCAAGGGATCAACCAACAACATTTCAAAATGGGTATTGGGGTAGAGGGCGTATCACCGTGTCAGTTTATTGCTAGTAAATGCTTCATCTCCAAATTTAATGGACGTAATGCGGAGCAATTCTCCTGAATACAGCAGTACTGTGTTTACATAATTATTCTTTTCAGATTGATCTTGATACGATCTACAATAGATTGTTCAATCCCTATGCCGACTGAATTTGTAACCGCGAGACTGTTTATTCGTAATGTTGTGAAATTGTATTAGCAACAGAAGACAATATATAAAATCAAAGAAAGCTTAGAAAGAACTCCCGTGTGCTGAAAGTATTGAAGACACATTAAAAATTAATTCAAAATTAGTTGTACACGAGATATTGATGGAAAAGCTGAAAACTAATTATGTAAATCAGGTAACTAATATGAACAGAACAAACAAATTATGAATTATTATGCTAATTAGAGAGTTAATATGAACACATTTTAACCCAAAATTAATCAAGCCTGTCTATTGTCCAAGAGCATTTATGTACCAAATTTTATTCAAATGTGATGATCAGTAATTGAGATATCAGTGATAATTAATTATGTTAATTAGGTGATTAATAAGCATAAATATTTACCAAAAACTAATTGGGTCTCTGCATAGTTCTCTTTAAAAGTTTCATTAAAATCCAATTCGTGGTTCTTTATATATCAGTGGAACATTATGCAAACTAGGTAATTAATATGCATAGTCCTAGAAGATCTATGTAGCAAGTCTCATTGAAATATGTTAATTAGTACTTGAGACATCAGGCAAAAAGCTGAAAATTAACTAATTATGCTAATAAGGTAGTTAATATGCACAAATATTTACCCCAAAACTAATCAGGAGTCTGCACAGTCCTTAAGTAACTATGTACCAAGTGTCATTGAAATGTGATGCTTACTACTTGAAATATCAAACGCTGAAAATTAATTAATTTTGCAAATTAAGTAATTAATATGTACTGATATTACCCTAAAAACTATCAGGTCTGTGCAGTGTTCTATGACATCTATGTACCAAGTGTCAATGAAATGTGATAATTACTACTTGAAATATCAAAAGCTGAAAATTAATTAATTATGCAAATTAGGTAATTAATATGTACTGATATTACCCTGAAAACTATCAGGTCTGTGCAGTGTTCTATGACATCTATGTACCAAGTGTCATTGAAATGTGATGATTACTACTTGAAATATCAAAATCTGAAAAATAATTAATTAAGCAAATTAGGTAATTAATATGTACTGATATTACCCTAAAAACTATCAGGTCTGTGCAGTGTCCTATGGCATCTATGTACCAAATTTCATTGAAATGTGATGATTACTACTTGAAATATCAAGAGCTGAAATTTTATTAATTATGCAAATTAAGTAATTAATATCTACTGATATTACCCTAAAAACTATCAGGTATGTGCAGTGTCCTATGATATCTATGTACCAAGTTTCATTGAAATGTGATGATTACTACTTGAAATATCAAAAGCTGAAATTTAATTAATTATGCAAATTAGGTAATTAATATCTACTGATATTACCCTAAAAACTATAAGGTTTGTGCAGTGTCCTATGACTTCTATGTACCAAGTTTTATTGAAATGTGATGATTAGTACTTCAGATATCAGTGGAAAAGCCAAAAATTGATTAATCATTATGCAAATGAGGTAATCAATATTGCACAGATTTTTACCCAAAACTAATCAAATTTGCGCATTAGTTTGGAGCATCTATGTGCCAAGTTTCATCAAAATCCAATGAGTGGTTCTTTAGATATCAGTGGAACAGTCATGGAACAGCTAAAAATCAGGTAATTATCGAGCAAATTAGGTAATTAATATGCATGGATTTTTACCAAAACCTAATCAAATCTGCGCATTAGTTTTGAGCATCTATGTGCCAAGTTTCATCAAAATCCAATGAGTGGTTCTTTAGATATCAGTGGAACAGTCATGGAACAGCTAAAAATCAGCTAATTGTCATGCAAATTAGGTAATTAATATGCATAGATTTTACCAAAACCCAATCAAACCTGCGCATTGTCCCAGAGCATTTATGCACCAATTTTTATCAAAAATCAATGTATGGTTCTTGAGATATCAGTGGAACAGGCACACTAACTGCAGACTCCTTTTTTGTGCTTCGCACACGGGAGTCAACCAGTGTAACGAGTACAGCCCGTATCACTGTATTCCGTGCTAACTTGTCGCGCCATTTCCTAATCATGGCGTTAGATTACGCACCTACCTGCACCTTGATATTAACCGACATACTGCACGCACCAACCCCAACCACCGTGACTATTACGGGCGAGCTTCGTACTGTTCTAAGCGCTGCTTCGTCCTGTGTCAGTGAAAGTCATATTTCAACTTCCAGCCAATAGAAAACGCCGTAATATTAGAGGTGTGACTTAAATGACATTCTACTAACTGTTCACCCAATGTAGATGACTCCAAATCAATCGTTTAACCAATTAGCCTTTTTCAGTTTTCAGCTGCATTGGGTCTCTGTCCGGTTCCTCCGCCGAGAATGTTTCCATGTCAAAGGGCGGGATATGGCAATGCTACCTTGTATCAATCTCGCAGGTTGGGTTTTTTGTTTATCTTGAAAACATGGTAAGACCCAGATGAAATAATGAAATTTGACTCCAATATTCCAATTCTCAATTTGTTGTGGTACGCCCTCAGTCCAATTTAATACATTTAGCTCGTGTTGTGAAAGTTTAACTGATACTGAGAATAAAATACTGAATGGCCACAGTATGTAGGGCACATGTAGGGGTAATTTAAAATGGAATAATACCGCTGTGGTTTTATTACTTGAAGCATTAAAAATAGATATTTTTCATAGTCTAAGTGTAAATTTCGGAAAGATGAAACACGACGTTTTGTCATAATTTCATCTTGTATATTTGATACACACAAGGAAAAATGAACGGCCGCCAGGTGTCACCAATTGTTATGATCTACTAAACACAAAATACGGAATTATGATTAATATAGTGATATACGAAATCAAATGTACGTCACAATAAGATCAATTATTTAACTTACACTGCTGAAGTTAGGAAATGAGACATAAATGCATTCTATTTTTTTCAACAACATGAATTTCTTAACATCCTCACAAAGTACAGCAACTTCTTGTCGCATTTTGGCCAAGGTGGATGTATGGTATCTACTCCCAGGGTGTGCAAAGCTAGAAAGAAATATAACACATAAAGAATGGTTATACATAAACATATGCAAATCGCCCTTGAAACGAATGACTATAGGACACCCACACATATTGCTAAATGTATGATGTATCACATTCCCAATGTTGACTTATGCTCTTCGCTTCAGTATATTATCAAAATCAGTTTGGTTTCAGCCATCCAACCTGGATTTACACTAGAAAAATAATGCGGAGATATACAGAACACAATCACACTTACTGTTCTCCTGATTTGTTTCTGAAGTGCATAGCAATATACGGACCTCCATTACAAATGTGTTTAGTGATTTGATCTGCTAACGTTCTAATTTCCTTCGTCCTAGTCAAGTGCTTGTCAACCGTCCTTGTGATCTCATTTGAAACACGTACTTGGCACCCTCTATCTGGTTCGAATAACCCAATACATTGGCTATTCTGAGATGGTTCCACTATGGCTAGCTCGTTACCAATATGTGTTAACTTTCCATCCATAGTTGGTAGTTTGATTCCATACTCTGCAGTGAATTCGACACTTACTCTTTTGTACGTTTCGTTTAAGTTTAAACAACGCCCAGGGAAGATAACAACACCAACAGCTCCATTACACAGGTGTCGAAACTCTTCAACAGAGATTAAATCAACCAATTCTTTTATTATTTTCATGTCAAAAGTTTCGTTGACGAACTTTCTGCCACTAAACTCATTACCAGCTGTCCAATGGTTGAAAAAAAATATTTCAGACAATGTTAGATTTTTTATCAAGGCGTATTTCATACCAGCCCTCAATGCTTGGTATTGGCAGTTTGGTCCATTCCCATCTAGGTGCACTGGTATCATGTACCGATGATCTAAGTTGAGGGTAGAGCCTGTTGTCTGAAATAGGAGACAACAATACATGTCATGTTGCAGGCAGAACAGTTAGTATCACATGTTTGTGTATAGCTATAGCAAAAGATACTGCTACATTACAGTAGTGGCAGAATCAATTAATTCCATTTAGTCCATACGGATTATTGGGCATATATTCCACACAATACAGTATAAAATGCGACTATATATATTGATAGAACAAAGCTTGTTAGTGAGAGCCAGGGATAGCAAACAATTGTGTCCAACGAATACACTGAGCAATACCAAGGTGTGAGGCAGGGAGTAATTGTGTGTATGATGGGCAACCTAATTCCAGGAAGTCGCAAATATCGTCGTCATAATCACACAGAAAATGGTGCCAAGACTGAATGTTCAAACCGAAGTGACTGGGATTTGACCACTATGGAAATTATAAATGCCCGAAGTGAACACTTTGTAATCAATTCGATGTAATCTTGTGCAAGATTGACTGATGTACTGCCGTTGGCACACTTGTGTTCTAGGATCAATTGTATGTCATTGCAGAGGTCGAATAAAGATGTATCCATAAGTGATATTGGTGTTGAAGCTACAGGTGCCATGTTTGTATTGACCGAAATTGTGGGGTCTGACCTAGTGTTGTTACTGCTAACCAAATGAAGTGAAATTAGCATTCAATGACTGATAGCATTCTCATTATATGAAAACAACACTCAAAACAGCATGTACGTATATTAAAGCGCGGTGGTCGTCGCGCAGCGCGTGTTCGAATTTCATGTAAATAAACAATGTATGTTACACGCGTTGTATACGTCACTATGAGTCCCATATCGAACAGGACGCGGCACGACGATTGCCACCCTTTAATTTCATTATGCGAGCGACTGCCACATGATAGCTCAGAGATAATCAGGCCCGTTGTTGGCATGGACGAATCTGTAATAAGACTGTAGAATCTGCTTGAGTATTATGTCGACGAAATTCAGTTCGTGCGAAGAAAAGAATGATGGAACAAACTGTTATTTGGATTTAAACTGTTTTTTTTTTCCTATCAGCGTGATGCATAGGGGATTTAATTTCATTGCTCTCAGCATTGTACCCTTTGTTTGCACCGATAGCTTCAAAATAGGGTAAAATGTGTCACCATTTTACGCAGTTCTGCCAGTGAGATGTCAGAAACTCGGCGGTCGAATACGATATACCCTGTGGGTGCGCGGATGTCGGACTTGAGCCGGGCTGATGACTGCGTGTTCACGCGGGAACGGTTGACGGTTTTAAATTCCAACTGAGTGATTTTCGCTTGTACTTTATGCTTACCGATTCTTGTCATAAGAGTTTGTTTACATGTTTGTTTACCTCGACCTGGTCGTCACTGTCGCCGTCCTGAGAACTGTGAATCCGATAAAATGGTAGGGGAATTACGTTGGTGTTTGGAAAAAGTCAACTTAAGGCCGGCAATGTTTTATTCTCGACGAATGACATGTCGCTTCTTTTGGTGATGGGGCAGTGCAAAATTGTCAATGCACCAGGTGTGGGTTTACACATAGAGCTGGCAACCGGAGCACATTGAACTAACGACGTTTACTGCCCGGCATAGCGAAATAGAAATGATACGAAAATACGAAAATACAGACAGAAAGAGAAATGAGGAGGCACGGTGAGCGTGCGATGTAAACAATGAAAAAACTAAAAGTGACCATGCGCAGCTGGGAGAATAAGCAAACTTACCATTTGAACTGCTTGCAAAATACAATCATATGATTACGACTGTTTCCCCAATAGTCTAAACACAACGATACTTCAGTACGAATCAGTACAAACCAAAACCCAATCGTAGAAATGCAGGTGAATCAGTTTGGGAGAGTATATTGTTTTGATAAACGAATGACATCACTGAAAATAGGAGATAACAAGTCGGATGCCAAGTCAGGTTGCTATATTCATAGAGGAGTGGTACGACTATGCCGATAAATGTATGTTTTCTAGATACAGAGTAAACGAATTTGGAGTCGTTACATCGAAATTAGCAAAACGGGTAGGCGAAAGAAATGAACTGCCCTGCGAAATCTCACATTAACATTGAAAAATAAAGTACGTGATTATTCACATTAATGATGGGGTTGAAACCAGTTTGTATGCATGGCCATGCTAAAATAAATGGTGTAAAATTAATACATTCATTCCTTCTTAATATCCATATAACATTATCATACATATACGCTGTGTTATATGCCCCTACCCCAAAAACGAAAACGTTGACGGAAAACGACACTCAACTCACTTTGCTATGTAGCAAGACCAAATATTAAAACAGCTAACATTAATATTCTTTGAATATTTCAATTTTCAAAATAAAAATGTGTGATTATAAGATATTAATAACCAAGCAATTCATGAAACACGACCTACCTTACTACTTGACTGTTCGCTTTCTCGAATAATTTGCGAATTATTTGCTTTCTCTTCCTTCTTTGAAATCAACGTTTGATTCTGCATCTGTTTGAATGCATTGGAGTATTGGAAACCGAGAATAACTATCATGGAAAGCTTCGAATTTTAACAATGCTTAAAACAACACTACTACATAGTTCGGCTAAATATCAATTTTTCAATGAATAATATGATTGAGAATAAAAATTTTACAGACAGGACAGTGTCCATCAAATGTTGATTATTAGCTATGCACCGCCAAACAATTACTGAAACCTACCATCGGCAGTTGTTTTCTTTCTCGAATGCCTTGCGGGTTTTCGTCATTAACATCCACTTTTGGGATAGGCGGTTGGTCATGTGTCTGTTCAGAATGAGTTTGAATATGTTATTGTAAATTACATAGTTCCATCAATTTGGCAATTTAAACTCACATGAAGCACTGAATCAAATAACCCTTAATGTAAGTAGTAACATTGTTTGTTTAAACTACGTGCACGCATAATACTTTCCTTTCATAGCCATGTTATATAATACATATATAGTTGTGAAATGGCAAGAGAAATTGTTGAAAAGTAACATTAGGTTCTGAAATAAAAATAGAATTGCCCACACAAACTACCCGATCAACTTTAACAGCTACATACCGGGTTACTTGATATGACTCGTGCCTTGGTCAATGTTTCTTTACTCTGTATAGCAGGGTCCTTTACAGGCTCTGTGTTTCCTCTCAGTTCGAAATATGCATTGAGGAGTAAAGTCGTCAAAACAACGAAAACAAGTAGAAACACAAACTGCCGTATGTTCATTTTGATTTGTTTTCCCGTTTCATATAATACACTTATGCTTTAACTCGCGATCGCCATGTGTTACCACTGTGTCGTCATTGATGCAATCATCCATAGTGAAATCAGCATATAACAATGCGGTATTATTATGCACTAGTCGTCAGGTTGTGGTGAGGGTGTGAATTTCTTTCATTTTGGTCATCCGTGAAAAGGGTTTTAGAGGAATGACCTACCATTAAAACCGCCAGGTAGGCAATTGTGTTTCTCAGTTTTCTTATAATTGTTACTATTGTCAAAGTTGGTTAAGGAATAAAAACAAAATAACAATAATGTATTTGCTGATTAAGTTACACGATGATGTCGTCACATTGAAACTGACATTGTGGCAATTGATGTATCATAATATTTGAAATGATGCCACTGATATATCATCAATCACACCGACAAAATAAGTTGTTCATATTCATCATGAATAACTGGATCGACACTCGTCGGCAACAATCAGTATACCAAAGAATACTGAAAAATATCCAGTGTTTCAGTTTACTGAATTACGTTTAATTAACATAATCCATAGTATTAGCATGTGTTCCGGTAAGCCCACCATTCGTGACAAGCAAGACATGCTGTGGTCTGTTTTGTAAACTGTTACAAGCCCCCTGGTTCGTAACATAGCAACCGATGTGGCGGGAGAGTATCGTGCTTAACAGTTTTATCGTGTCAATCGAATTGTCAGAGTACAAAGTAGCCACTTCTTTTGATTTTAGTACACAAAGTAATCCTTTCAGTATTTTTTGTCACACCCTTATGTCGCCATTATATATATATTATATATATATTATATATATATATATAATTTTACGGTTCTAAGAAAGGAATAAGTCAATAATACAATTGCAAATAAAGTGCAATGCAGTGACAATGAAAATCACTATTTCATCACTCAATTTACAAGAATGTACTGGATATAAATTGTCATCTGATTAACTACCCTCACCATTCCTTTTTAAATTTCTTTTTCTTTTCAAATAAATATAAATAAATAATATCGTAACGTTGTCAGTAAACAAAGTATATGTATATAACGTAAATTTAATGATAATTATTTATATACAATTTGACCATGCTGTTTTTATGATTGCAATAATATTTCAATATTTATCAAAGGAAAACTATTTATATATATTGTTGACAATATAATTTATTCATATATATATTCGAAGTAAAATAGAGTGTATAAATAAGTAATACAGTCTCTTATCATATACAAATAAAATATTTTATATTTTTATTTTATATATTTTATTATATATACAATTGAGAATTGTGTATTTATTAAAAATAATTTGTTTATTACAATAACATGACCATTTCATTATATATTGTAAGCAAATAAGTAATTATTTATTATTTACTATTTATTATATACAAATAAATTGAATGATTCCCTTTATTATGTACAAATAATTTGTACCATAATTGCATTATGTATATATAATGAATAATTTTGTAATTATTAATAAATGCACAAACGACACCTCATACTGATATTTTATGGAATTCTACAGAATATGAATATAATTATTTGAGGAGTTCTATAATAATAATATTTATTAGACGCATAAAATTCTTAGGAAAGGATAAAAAGGGTCTTACAAAGGAAACTTAAATACTATAATCTAAAACAAAACTATTCTAAAAAAATAAAACAAATCAAAAACAATTATGAATAAAAAATAAAGACAATTTGCACGCACTGGTGAATACATAATATGGAATTATCACTAATTGTAACCTAATACACTGATAGTTGTTGCTGTTTTGTTTCATAGCTGTTTTTAAGAAGACAGCTAAGGCTGGTGCTAGTGTATGGTTTCCTATAATCAATATGAATTTATTCTGACTGTTTCTTTATCAACATTTTGGAACTTTGTTTTGTACAGTCAGGAATAATTTGCCCTTATGATGACTGTAAGCTGGACATTTCATGACAAAATGTTGCTCATCCTCAATTATTTTTAGCTGCACATATCACGCGTTCTTTTATCCAGCGGCACATTATTATGTCTGCCATTCTCAATTTTAAGATCATGGTTGCTTGTCCTGAATTTTGCAATTAACCTTCTAAGACCATGGTTCTGCACACTATTTAAGTAATTTTAATTTTTTAAATCTTGTTTAAAAAGTCTGTATGTTCTATTACTGAAACTCTATTGGATTCCACAGAAAATTGAAGTGATTTTGTGGAATATATATTATCACCTATTGGTGATCTTTTGGGAATATGCAACTTATGTCAGTTAAAGTTTCCTCACATCCATAGCCGTAATCAAACCATGGGTGACAGAGCTATGATATATATATAACTGGCTGGCAGTCTGCCATTATTGGTCCGACTATGATAACACTCACATGGACATGTATGATGCATGTGCTATATGTCAATAAAATAGGTAAATAAGCCTCGGAGATATACTAGTATTATAACCAATAATGTCAGTACTAAATTTGAACGATAACTGACAAAGTATTTTCAGAAAAGTATATTTTCAAAAAAGATGGCTGCCAGTCGACCATTTTGGATCGATTCTCTAAACTACTGCATATGCATATATCACTAGACAAATGCAAAGGATGAACATATTTGGTCTAGAATGTTCTGAAATAATTTCTGACAGAGACCGTTTCAAAATTCACAATACTGATTGAAGAACGTGATTTTTTAACAAACATATTTTCAACAGTGAACTGTTGTATAATACTACAAAATATTCCACAAATGAAAATGAATCCCATGGAATATCAATCTATTATTAACTTCCCATCAATACAATTGAATTTCATTTCAAATTCATTAAAATAACATATTATACATTTTACTACCCCTATTCTAAGTATATAATGAGTTAGAACAAGTGTAGTTCTCCTGTCACAGTCATACCTCTGATATTTCACTGCCATTAGAAAATCAGAAAACAAAATTATAATACCCTAACCAGATTTTGAAGGCACTTAAAAGTAAACAGCTCTTGGGAATAAACTCTTGGCAATCATTGGTATGTAACTTTATTGTGAATAAGCTACCCTCATTATTTGGTTAAACAGTATGCTTGTGAATGCCAGGACGCGTGACCTTTCAGAGCGTGACAGAGATCATGACAAAATCAACACAAAAAAATGAAATTAAATACAAATACATAGCGTAATGTATAAAATAATCTTAATTAATAAAGTGACAAAAATATATCAATTAACCTGAACCAAGAGAGGAAACTACACACCTTTATGATCAACAGTAAGCTTGTTAGTTAATTATTTATTTAATTCGCTGTAAATTTTGTAATTGTATACATCACACTGACCATTCCTGCTCACAAATCACGTAAAAACATACAGATATACTAGCTATTCTAGTTTCTCACAATGTTCTCTTTATAGTTCTACTGCTTACACCAAGAGCAAAAAATGTCAAATGACCAAGTGTTTCAGCATACAATGTATTTTGCAAGCTCACCGCAACACCAAATTTAAGCTGTACGCCATAGGTTACCTTTTCCCATGTGTACTATTGTGTAGTATATGATGGGTGCTCAGAGCTAGACTACAATCACAGAAAGTTTCCAAACAAAGATCCTAATGTAACAATAGATTGTAGGGTCCATGGCGCCATAAAGTTTAGTTTCACTTTTTTACTATATAACATTTTCCAGTGTTTTCAATGTTTGATTTTAATTACCCAAATAACTATTTGACGTGATAACCATATCTATTATAAAATCAATTTATATGAAATATAATAGCAAAATTTTGGCCACATTTACATTATTATGCATTATTATTTTCAAAAATATTCAATAGAAAAAGCTAGGTCATTAGATAAAGTGAAATCGATCCAAATTCTAGAAAGTATATAACATCACTATATGAAAATGTATATTGTATATTTATAGCTTTTTACAAACTTTTGAACAAGATTTTTACTGAAATCTATCTTAAAAAATCATTTGCTAAAGCTTTATAAAATACACTTGTCTGTGAACAAAATAGAATGTCGGTATAATTCCATGGAATTTCTCATGTTGTTGATCTATTAGTGGAAATGTTCATAGTATTCAATGGAATACAGTAAAAGTGTGAAAATTCTGACATACTGAAAACACTGGTTCTGACATGACAACCAGTATTTTACTGTAATGCAATATGCCGACAGCCTGTTGTAAAAAGAATGCAAATAATAAATTCCAATACAATGTCGCCAATTTTTGAATTCTATAACCCAATGCATCAATTTGCATTTAGTGGAATTGTATATAAAATGCCATTTTTTAATTTTATAAACTATATTCCTTGTAGAATTTTATAAAACATCTTATAGATAAAACAAAACTGTTTATTGAAAATTGTTATGTAAATAAATCCACTTGTAGCTGAATCTAGATTTGGAGTTTATATATATGTTTTGATGAATGTTGGTCTCCGAGACTATACACTTCATAATCACATGATGCCACCTTGGGATTTTTTTCTAATTTGCATAAATCCAAAATGGCCGCTATAATACCATTGATCGTCGCATCTTCACTTCTAATTAACAATTTTTAGAAATTTAAAAATATCATCTTGTTTAAATGTATACGTACAGAAATGTCTCTTCAACCAATCATATGATCATTAAAACATTCCATATTTGCATGCATAACGCATTTGCATAAATTGAAGATGGCCGCCATAGCATTATGTTTCTCTACAAGACGTTTGACATGTTTTTCAGATACTGTGAGGTTATATTACTGCTAAGCTCAATTCCTGCATGATTCAGTATTTACATGGATTCAAAATATCAGTAACAGTAACTCTTCTTCTGTGAATGGTGACAATATCATTATTTGGCTTCTATTATGTTATATCTGTCATCTTGTATACCAATTGTATACCAACTTTACAATGGAGAATTTGAAATATTTTGGTATTGCGTCACTTCTTCTCCATGGCTTGTCACTATATGGGTGAACCAGTAATGT